GTGACTCTTGAGCATTGGGTGAAATTTAGTTAAAGAAACAAAAGCAAACAAATATCTAGAAAAGTCATTTTTATCTTTTTAAAAAATGCTTCATATTTGCTGTTTTGATCGTAACATTTGAGAATGACAGGTTCTAGAATATTTGGTCTTTTAAAGTTTATCCCTTGTTTCCTGTTTAGGATTGGGTTTCAAGTTCTGTTTAAAGTCTACTTCAACTTTATACGTCTAACGTCTCAGTCTGAACTCTGAATTTTTATTACTAATTATTGTTTTTTTTTTCTCATCAATAGTAGTAGATATGTTTGCCTATCGTCTGGTTTACACTCCTCCCCTGTTTTTTGAACACGCATGTAGATATGATTATCCCTTATCCAAATAACAAAAAATACATCATTTTTCTTCTGAACTTTTATCTACTAATTATTTTTGTTTTCCTCAATTCAGTTCACATTTTGAACAAAAGGATTGTTCCCTGTTTAGGATCGGGTTTCAGGTTTCTTCTAAAATATTCTCTTTCTCCCTCAGTAGACTTCCCCCACCCCCTTGTGTTTTAGTGGTATTATTGCCTTGCTTGGGGTGAATTAATTTAAAAAAAAAAAAAAAATAAGAGAAAAAAAAGAAAGATATTCCCTTCCTTGCATCTCCCACTGTTAACAACTCATTTCTATGAAGAGATTCAAAACTTTTCAACAATTATTGCATGTGCAATATTTATTGTTTGTTTGGTTGAATCAATTTGTTGGTGGCCACAGGTGGGGTGGGGGATGTGGCAATGAGCAAACATTAATGAAAATAATTCATGCTTTTATTATCTATATTATTATTTTTTAATTTAAATTTTTTTTTTATTTACTAGATTTATACCAAGCTGTCAAAAAAATGACTGATTATTTAAGTAATTTTGTAATTGTGTTCTATATATAAAATATAAAAAAAACTTTTTTTTTCCTTATTTTATATTTCTTGAATTTGCTTAATAAATAAAATTCTATTTGCTATAGAATAATTGATTTCGGTATCATCAGAATAATGATATGAATTTTCAATGTAGAAAAGTATTATGCCTGCAAAATGTATTTATATTCATGCATATTGCATTTCACATATTTTCTTCTTTTTTTTCTATATGCTGTCTCTTCAGGACTTTTGGCGACCATGGTTCTCCACAACTTCCTTTTCTTTGTAGCTCTTAATAAAGTTTGTCTTTTTGTTATCTCTCCTACACCTTCTTCTGCCATCCATTTACTGATGCTCATTAGGTTATTCATCATTTTCCTCTGTCCCTCTTGCCTTAAATCTGTCCTGTGAGTATCAAATTTTCCAAGCCTTCCTTCCTCATTATGTGCCCTAGAAATTTCAACCCTCTCTTTCTGATATTAAGTATAAGTGTCCTTTTTGTTTCCATTTTCTTTAAAACTTTGTCATTGCCCACATGTTCGGTCCATGGTCTTTTCAGCTTCCTTCTGTAGAACCTACATTTCTATTGCTTCAAGTCCCTCCCCATGAGATTATCCAGCATTCACTGCCATTTAGGGTGACTGATATTACATAACAGTTCAGTACTGTTTTCTTTGTTTCTAACAAAATTTTCTGTCCCTTAATACTTTGCTTAGATAACTATTTAGTTATATAAGTAACTCTATTGTTACATGCTGTTTTATAATCTAAGGTTACATTTAACATCAAATAATTCAATAATTCACTTCTACAAATATTACTGATACCATGTAATGCAGTACAATCAGCTGCATGGTTGAGTTATTGGCAACTAAACTGATTCTTCAAATATGCTGTTCTTGGGATGGCTAGATACCCAGGAGGTTTACAATCAAGACCAACCAAATGGTGAATGAACCTTCTCATACAGCCAGTGGCCATCTATCATAAGGGGGTAAGACTGGGCCCCATGGTTAGGTATGTAGTCAGTCTGGTGATGCCATTGAAATTCTAGGTGGACGGCTTCTTAGACTGAAATCAATGAGCTGAGATGAGGGTAAAAAAATTGATAGAATCAGTGGACACATGCCCACTTATAACTGGACTTGTGATGTGATGGATATAATGTCAAAAGCTTTTCTTGTTTTATGTGTTCTAAATACTTATTCACAAATAAATGAAAGTATTTTTTATGCTGTTTTTTAGGTAATCTTGGTAAAAATATTTTTTTTTTTTTTACTTCTGTTACCTCCCACTTGCTTAATGAAATTTTGAGAAATTAAAAAATTCAGCACCTTTCATATTTATATTAGTTAAAAGCAGGAGTCCTTGAAGAATTTTAGTAATCATTTCATTTTTGTCAAGCAAGAACCCCATTTACCAAAAATCTGTTCTGAATCTTAAATAAAAAATGCAATAAAACTATGACATTATTTAATTAGGAAAGATTTTAAATGCTTTTATAAATAAGAAATATTAAGGACATTATTGTCTTAAGAAAAAAATATTTTTGATGAATAATGAATTTTACAAGAATTGTTTTCATTTCTTATAAGTTTGAAATCTTTTAACATTCTGAATTAATTTCAGCCTTTCAGATGATAATATTATTAATTAA